CTACCTCATACTTATTAGCTAGTTATGCACTACTGGACAAGGAGCTTAAACTCTCCATCTTAGTTTCCTTGTTTGTTAAATGGGGACAATAATAGTGCCTATCATATATTTGTCATAAGGATCTAAGGCAGTAATATATAGAAAGCATTTTGCAAAACTTAGAGCATAAAACTTTATAAATGCTGGCTAGTCTGATTCTTTGTGGATGACTGTCATCTTTCCCTAACTCGAGAGTTATCACGGACAGAGAAGCAGGACAGCTGAACTCTTAGGGCTGGAAGGTAGAAAATGCTGCCAATAACCTGGAGGAGTAGACCCTCTCCTGCTCAAAGGTCTTTGGTAGGTATTTGACACTTACTAGCTGTGTGACCCTGAGCAAGTTACTAAACCCTGATTGCCTCATATAAAAAACAAAACTTTGCTATCTCCTTCTGCTCCCCACCAGTTCTCTGCACAAAGTGGCCATTTCCTCGATGTTTTTTTTTTCTTATTCTATCCTAAAACAATGTTTCTAAATCCATACTGCACTGTGAACCAGCAAAATATGTAAATTCTGTACAGTAGATCATTTTATCTTCCATTGCTGTTAGAGCATGGCTCTCACTAATTCAGGCTGGAGATCAGTTGCTGAGTAGAAGGAGATAACAAAAATTGGCAGGAGTAGTTTGTATGGAGTAAGAGGGGTCACTTTTGTTACTTTTTTTGGTATAAGAGTAAGGGACTTTGGCAGTAAAAAGTCTTTTAGGGCAGGAGCAATTTGCCATTTACAATTGGCAGTTGGGAAGAAACCACAACAGATAGTTTTTGAATGGGTATCAACTCAAATCCAACATGTAAGATAAATAGTAATCTTATTTTTAGTAAAACGATTGGGGAATAGTGATATAACATAGTGTACAAAGGGCTAGTATTAGAGTCAGGGGAGCCTGAGTTCAAATCTTGCCCCTGATATGGATTGGCTTTGTGACCATGGGCAGGTCACTTAGTATCTCATTCCCCTTGTCCCAGTGGAAAGAGCTTTGGATTTAGAGGACCTGGATTCAAATCTCAACTCTTCCACCTATCATCTATTTGACCTTGGGCCAGTTCCTTTGTGCCTTGGTTTACTCATCTGTAAAATGAGAAGGTTGAACTAGATGATGTTTAAGGTGATTTCCAGTTCTAAGTTTATGATTCCATGATAAGTTATAGGACTACTTCACTTGCTCGCAATATCTATTATAGCTAAGTTTGGCAATATCATATGGTAGAAGTATACATCAAGTCTAAAAATGCAGTGGAACAATGTATCCCTAACACCATTTAGGAGAAAGGGTGTCCTCACCAGAGCAGGTGAATATTCCTGTCTGCTTGACTGAAAGCATTCTATAATGGAGATTTCTATCTTTTGGAGTAATAACTTTCTTTTTCTACATAGAGGTGGGAAAGGCTAAGATGTATTGTAATTTGATTACTCTTCCAGTTAGAAATGAAGAAATACAGAAAATGAAACTAGTTTGGTCTATGTCATAACCATTTCTGACATGAGTGTGGTGACAACAATTTCCTATTGTACATGTTGTTTGAGAGGGTGTGTGGAGTCACAGCCTTCCATAAATAGGCTCTCTGTTCCTATCCAGTCGTCCTTCTACCCAGGAGATCACTGCAGGCAAGACTAGAGACATAGCTCAAGAAGAGATGGCTCTCCTGGAGAACCCATTGGGCCACCCAGAGAAATTTCACATTTCAAAAGATTTGGGCTTTATTCTGGAAGACCCATTGGTAAGATTATGGCATTAAAACATGTGGCAAAATACTTTTTGTCTATTGTGTTCTATTTGGTTTGATTCTGTTGATAAGGAATGCCAAGTATACAGAATGTCTTTTTGATGCTGCTTTTGTAAATTTTTTCTAACATATTGGAAGAACAGAAATACTACTTTGAGAATAGCAGCAGAGTCCATAGGAGTTAGAGTTGGAAGGGATATTAGAAATGACCTATTCTTACTATTTGAATTTACAGGATAAAAAACTGATGAGTAGAAAAATAAATTGATTTGCCTGAAGTAAAAAAGACATTAAGTGGCAGATGGAATCTAGGATGTGACTCTATCTGCCGATTTTGGATCCAGGGCATGCTGGATGGGTGATGAAGTAGCCAAATATAAAGCCAAATACCTAATATGTTGGATTTGGAGCTAAGCAAGCAAGTCATTTAACTTACCTATTCTTGGATAAGGAAGTTACTTCAAAAGCCAGCCTTGAGTTACAGTGGCCACAGGTCTGGATTTGAACTCACAAGACTGGGGTTTGAGCCCCAGCCCTGCCATTATGAGTAGCTATGTAACTCTGAGCAATCATTCACTCAATTTGCTTAACTATAATGAGAATAATAATCCTTGAATTCTCTCGCTCACAGAGTGATAGGGAGGATGAAATGAGAATGCATACTACTTAGAGTTTTGTTAATAAGAACTCAGTTATATAGCCCTCTAATGCTTCTAAAGTGCTTGCCTCAACACAGTATATTTACCTCTATTTTACAGACAAGAAAACAGATTCAAAACGGCTAAGTGATTTTCCCCTGGGTCACATAACCAGTGAATGTCAGAGTGGAGATTCAAACTCAGGTGCTCTGACTTCAAGATGAGTGTGCTTTCATTATACCATGTTGCCTTACTATTAGGAATGAATGAAAACCCAACATGTCTGAATTCTCATTAGGAAATGAAGATGATTGTAATGATGTTTATGACTTCACCTATAATATCAAAGCCTTAAGGGCTACGGTGTTATAGTAATTTAAAGTTGACCCAAACCAAATCACATTTGGAAAAATGACCTGTAAATCCAAAGAAGGTAAATTCAGTGCCAGCAAATACTGAAGAGTACATATACTATGTATTTCAACAGATGTCATTTGCATTTTTGAGAGTACAAATCAGGCAGGTCATGGGTTGGGTTAATATGTTTTTGTTAAGCTCCAGAATTGAGTGTAAAAATGTGAGTCATAGAATTGGAATGGTCAGACTTAGCTACTAAGAGTTTCCAAGTGAATGGCTATTAAATGAATACTCTTCTCTTGATTACTAGATTGACAAGCCAAATCTAGAAGATTTCCAACAGAATCTTATTGAAAGAAGCCTAGTATTCATCAGGTTGAGATCTTAAAGCAGGATAAGGCAATTGGGTACTTGAGGCACCAGGGAGGGATCCGCAGCAATATTACATAGTCATAGGGTTGTTTTTTGGAAAATGTCTTTGTAAACCATAAAACCCTACAGAAATGTAAGTAATCATGACTCTTCAAACCAGTGTGTTATTTTGTCATTACATATGGGAGATGTGTGCTGTAATTTATGTTATGTTATATTATGGTCAAGACTTCTTAAAGAAACCATCTTAGATCAATCTCCTAATATTACATTTGGAAAGTTAAAATTGAATATTTATGTCACATGATGATTTACATTAGGCATTGAATTACAGCTTGCCAGCTCACTTGTTTTCAGGGAAATGTACTTACAGGATTAGTGTTAGAAGTCAGAATTAATTTTTTTTTCTTTACTCCTTTTCCTTCTTATAGTATGACCTCCATCCTTTAAATGCCTAGCACTCCCCTCACACACACCTTTCTTCTTCTCTTCTGGTTCTATAATAAAGAGAAAGAACATGCTATTTAGAAAGGATAGAACATCAATCACTTATATCTTAGTGTGAATAGATGGATTTTGTCATAGTAGTATCTGCATATAGCTTTAGAGCTGAAAGACACTGTAGATACCATCTAATCCAACCCTCTCATTTTACAGATAAGGAAACACAGGCTCAAAAAGATTAAATAACTTGCCTAAGGTCATATAGGTTATATGTCATGAAGGTAGGATGGAAATATAAGTCCTTACTCCAAATACAGTGCTCTTTCCCCTATACCAGGTCTATTTGTTACCTCTTTTGGAGGTCCTATGACATTTGAATTTTAAGCATTATCTCCAGTCCTGTGCCCTTTCTGAGCCTCAGTTTCCTTGCTTATAAACAAGGAATTTTTATTTTCTCTTTAAATAATTTAAGCCAAGAGAGAACAAGGTAGGAAGAATTGGGAGGATGGGTAGAATAAGGACTCTCCCCAATCCCACCCTCCACATTCTCCTAAAATTGCATCATTTTGGTCATCACTATTTAGACATAATCTGTATGCCCATGCTAATGTTCTGATTTTGACAATGCTAGTATTATAAGTAGAGATGGAAATTCCCCATCCATGTGGATATGGAAATCACCTACCAGATGGTGACACAATTTAACTGAAAAGAATCTCAGAATCATCTATTGTTAAACATAAAATCCTTTTGGTACCATATTTTGAGGGTACCCTATGGTATTTTCAAAGAAGACCTCAGTAACCAAAAAGAAGAGGCCCAAATTATCACCTAAACTCAGACTCTACTCTGTAGTAACAGTTTAGACAGATGCAAAAAGAAGGAAAAGTTTTGAATCAGTAATAGTAGAGTTATCCATGGTGAAGGTAAGGGTCTAATGGGCCTGAAGTAGGTGGGTGATGTGAGAAGAGCAATACTGACTCAGCATAGAAAATGGCGAGAACTCTGGTCTTGGAGGCAGAAAATAAGAGAAGTTTGAGTTTATCTCACCATGATTCTTGTCAAGTCATGTAACTCCTCTGAACCTCAATTTTGTCATTTGATCAATGGATATAATAATACTTATCTATCTGCTGCCAATTGATTGTTGTATAGAAAACACATTATAAACCTCAAAGTACTTCTAGTAATGTCATTTATCATTATGGGTCTGTAGGATGTCCAATTCAGACAAGGTTATGGAAGATTTTTTTAAGGAAGTCATTATCTACCCAAAACTTGTTTCACCCACCTAACTTCCCTATTTCCTATGGTTATCATAGACAGGCATCATTTCAGTCTTCCAGGTTCCACACCTCTGAAGGATATGACGTGAATTCTGTAGAAATCCAAAAGGTCATACTACCCACTTTCTGAAAGAGAGGTCCTGAGTTCAGAGCGACTGTTAAGACATTTTTTTGGACGTGACCAATGCAAGAATTTGTTTTACTTCACAATACGTATTTGTTCTTTTTCAGTGATGAGGGCAGGGAGGGATGGAAATGGATTTTTATTAATTGAAAAAAATGAATTTAAAAAAAAGGATCCAAAGGGAATGAGTCAATACTAACTAAAACAATTAGAGTTGTATTGAGGAGTTGGCAACTGAGATGAAGGATGGATTAGATCTGGATAAGCAGAGGTAGTGAGAGAGGGTAAAATATTTCAAGTGAAAGGAAGAGTAAGAACAAGGTACAGAGATGAGAGTAAGTAGGGTATATGCTAAAGATAGTAAAGTGATGGACCTGTCTAGAGTGGAAAGTGTGTGTTGGGATTGAAAAGGAATCTGGTGGTGGTAGACAGGATGAATTTGAAAAGGACAAGAGACTCAGTTGAAGACAGGTTGACTGAAAGGCTGTTAGGTGATGGAGTCCTATTGTTAAAGGAATAAGATGAGTAAATTGCATTTTTATTTTTTCTATCAAGGAGGAGCTGCCTGATTGCTATCAGGTCTGGGTGAGACTTGCAAAAAATCTGCCCTCTCTGATTCAGAATGGCCAATTTCGGGAAGAAGTTAAACAGGTTTGAAGTTTATACTACACTCATGTTCTCGTTTTGTTGTTTGCCATCTCAGAAAAGCCACCTTTAACTGTTTGCCTTAATCTCTTCTTTTTCTGAAAGCTGCCAGAACTTAATATTAGTCAGCTCCAAGGACACAAGGAACAGCGCCTCGCACATCTGGCACTGGCGGTTATCACCATGGGCTATGTATGGCAAGACAGCGAAGTCATGCAGGTTTGGAGAGCTTGTTTGTTCTCTGTTGGAATCTTTCATTTCAGATTTTAAATACCACATCTTTGTCCGTGTTAAAATCCTCAGTGTTTCAGAATTAATCACAACTTCAGTTTTACTGGGATGGTAGAAATTATGAGGATTATCACACCATGCTTAAATTTAGAGCAGCCATAGCACAGTAGAAAGAGTGATAAATTTGGAATCAGAAGACTTAACTTTAAGTCCTAACTGCTATTTACTAGCTGCATGACTTGGGACAAATCCCTTCACCTTTGGACCTCATTTTCTTTATTTGTAAAAGGAACTAGGCCAGACTTTTTTTTTTGGCTAGGCAATGGGGTTAAGTGACTTGCCCAGAGTCACACAGTGTGATGTGTTATGTGTTATGTGTCTGAGGCCAGATTTGAACTCAGGTCCTCCTGATTCCAGGGCTGGTGCTCTATCCACTGTGCCACCTAACTGCCCCTAGACTTTTTTTAATACCTACTTCACAAAGTTGCTCTGAGGATGAGGTGAGATAATGAATATAAACTGCTTATGAATATGAACTATTATTATTTTTCATAGCTCATCTTGGTTTATGATCTATTGAAAATTTTTATTTTTTCTTAGGATTGGTCAAATGAGTCAGGGAAGGCTCATATAACCAAAGGATTGTAGATTGAAGAGGAAAGACCTTAAATTTAGTCCAATTCTTTAATTTTACAGATAAGGAAACTGAGGCCCAGAGAAATCGCGTGACTGGTTCAAGTTCACATAGTTAAGGGGTGGAGTTCAGGATTCAGACCTAGATCCCCAACTCCAAATTCCGATCTTTTTTTCCCTGTATCACACTGATTCCTAAACATCTTCATGTCAATGAAAAGAAATGTTAAAATGCACATATACACACACATAACCCAACAAAAACCCCTTTCACAGCAAACATTTACTTTAAGTGAGTAATTGTAATTATTTTTCCAAAGTATTCTCATAATTTTAACTTTCTTTTTTTATCTTATTAATTTGTTTTGATTTATCAATAATCACTTCCTTAAGCTTTTGAGTTTTAAATTTTTCTCCCCCTCCTTCCCCACCTCCCTCCCCAAGATGGCATGCAATCTGATGTAGTAATTTTAACTTTCAAAGAGATAATAATAGCATCATCTCTACAATGATCTAGATACAGTAGTTGTAGTAATAATAATAATAATGATAATGATGATAATTTATGAAGCTTCTTAAGATTTGAGAGGCCCTTTAAATACATTATCTCATTTGATACTCACACTGACACTGGGGAGTAGATACTGTAGGTATGATCACATTTTATAGATGAATAAGGTGAGGCTCAGAGATGTTGAAACTTGCCTATAGTCACACAGCTAGTAAGTGGAAGAGTGAGGGCTTGAACTGAGGCCTTCTGGTTCCAAGTCATTGATCTTACACTACAGCTATTACAGCAAGTTTGCTGACAGACAGAATGTTACTCTAGTTGCTGAGTATTTCAAACAACTGTTTTGTGTTTTGGAAAGAGTATCAAAATTAGAATTAGAAGATAGATTCATGTCTTAGATTTGCCAATTACTGAACTTGTGATCTTAGCAAAGTAAGTCATTTCACCTGACTTACAGTTCCCTTCTCTGTAAAATTGGATGTGATAATATTTATATTACCTGACAACCTACCTCTCTAGGTCTGCTGCAATACACATGTACACACATGTGTGTGATCGTGTGTTTATACATATGTGTGTGTATATATACATGCGTATTTAGGTAGTGTTTTTATAATCACGAAGTGCTAAGTAATACAAACCACTGCTTTTATTTTTGTAAGCTAGAAACAACCTCATTTTAGTTACTATGAAGTGTAAGTAGATGTTATTGCTTCAAATGTTAACAAATGAATCATATTTTAACTAGGTGCTGCCCAGGAAAATTGCTGTCCCTTTCTGTGAAATCTCAAAACAACTTGGCTTGCCTCCAATAATGGTGTATGCAGATTGTGTTTTGGCAAACTGGAAGAAAAAGGATCCCTCAGGGTATGTAGCACTTGCCTTAGCTGGGCCAAAGAACCCAGTGAAGTTGGGCAAAGTTTTTGAAGTCAACATTATCTGTCCTCCCCCAGTGAACCCGGTTTGAAAGTTTAGCAGGCATGATCACTGACAGACAGGCTCATGGATTAATAGAACTTGGAAGTATGTTAGAGATGTAGCATAAAGCCTTTATTTTACAGACATGAAACCCAAGGTTCTAAGAAGTGACTGAACCAGGAACATGGCCACAGAAGTTCAGACTTGGAAGAGATGTCTGAGATGATCTAGTCCAGGGGTGGGGAACCTGCAGCCTCAAGCCCACATGTAGCCCTCTAGGTCCCCAAGTGCAGCCCTTTAACTGAATCCAAACATCACAGAACAAATCCCCTTAATAAAAGGATTTGTTCTGTAAAACTCAGACTCAGTCAAAAGGCCACACCCAAGGACCTAGAAGGCCTCAAGTGGCCTCGAGGCTGCAAGTTCCCTACCCCTGATTCTAGTCCAACCTATTCCTGATGAAAGAATTTCCACTGCAGTTAAGTCTCCATTAATGTGAACAACAAAGCCCTGAGATGGTCCCATATATTTGAATTCACTCTATTCAAAATTACAATTATGTAATAGTTGGTAATTGGTTCCAGCCCAAAGGGAATATTCAGTATGAATTGAGTAAAGCTACCACTTCACAGGATTTCTTGTTCACATTAATTAGGACCTAACTAGGTCTGTACAATATCCTGTATAAGAGGTCGTAAAGCCTTTGCTTGGAGACTTCCATAATGGAGGACTTGTTACCTCCTCAGGCAGCCCATTCCAATGCTGGACAGCTCTACATGTTAAGTTTTTCCTTATATGGAGCTGAAATCTGCCTCCCTATAACTGCTATCTTGTACTTGCATTTCTGCCCTCTGGAACTAAGCCAAGAAGGAAGGAAGGAAAGAGAAAGAAAGAAAGAAAGAAAGAAAGAAAGAAAGAAAGAAAGAAAGA